TATATATATAACAACAAAAGAAAAGCAAGTGATATACAAAATAAAGGAAGATAAAGACATTAGTAAGTAGTAATAATAATTTGTGAAATTATTGATTTTTCGTCACATTTATTAAAGATAATTCCTCTGTAAGGATGAACAGTCCCATTGGAGAGAAACAAAAAATTGAATTTGCTGTGAAATAAAAATGATGTACAGGAGTTAAAAGGCATGTCCATAAGTCGGGGATGTCAAATTTGAATCAATAGCGTGTGTGCCCGCCATTCCCGTTCACAACAGCCTGGCATCTGTTTGGCAGTGACCTCACAAATCTGTGAATGATGAACATGTTCACATTTGCATCAATTTGTGTGATGGTTCGCTGCAATTGAGTTGCTTTTGTTGGTCTTCGCTGAAAACGATTCAGTTCTCTTTGGATGTGTTCCCAAGTAGTGTTCGATCGGGCTGAGGTCTGGGCTCATTGAGGACCATGACAGCACCCTGGCATTGTTCTGCTGTGAGAAGGCTGCTCTAGCTCTTGCAGTATGGGGTTGGGCACTGTTCTGCTGCAGGATAAGGTTCGGGTGTTGCTGGAAGTATGATGTTGGATGTAGCGCTGTGCATTAACACCGCTATTTTTACCAGGTTCAATGTTCTGGAAAACAACGGGTCCCAAGTGTTGGTTTAGGCCCAGATAATTATGCTTGGATCACACCATGCATCGACCTGCAGGACGTTGTTGTCAGCAAACTGTTGGTCTGGTTTTCTCCATATCCGGATTCTTCCATCTCCTCGACTGACTCAAAAACGGCTTTTGTCGGTGAAGAGGACATTTCTCCACTGTGGCCAGGTCCAGCTCCCATGTTGCTGAGCCCACGCCAAACGTTGCTGCCGATATGTCTTGCAGAGAGGACTGCACGTCTCAAAGGTCAACAACATTGCAGTTGGCCTTCTCAAAGTTGGTGGCGCACAGTCTGACCTGAAATGGCTCTCCCATGGTCTCCAACGAGATTTCAGGCTGATTCGGTAGCACACAAGAAGCAGTCTCGCATGCGATTTCGCAGAAGGGCGCGGTCTTGACGTACTGACGTCACTCGTGGTCAACCAGTTCTGTGAGCATCACAAGTACTTCCAGTAACTTGAAAACGTCATCGGAGTCGACATATTGCTGAGAGGGACACACGCATGGCAATTTATACATCTGTTGGACTCTTTACCGCCTGCAATCTGCCGATAGCCCTTTCTCGGTTTGCTTCGATGAGTCGTTGCATGGTCTCTGGCACAAAACACTAGACTGAAGAAAGCGTTACGTCCTGTCAGTTTATACCCCTCAGTCGGGTGAACACTTCAGAGGATAAAAACTGCTCACCAACTGGCATGCTCAAGGCAATACTCGGTTTGCATTTTTTTTGTCGCCATATAGTGACCTCTTTTTATACAATAAGCATTTTCCAACTTGGTGACATGAGCTGACAACATCACAGGATACAAAAAATTGGCCATGGCCTACTTTCTAGTGAAAGTGGGTTATTAAACACCCGAGTCTTTAAGTAGCTATATGACTTGCTTAACTTTTTTTGTTGAATATA